ACCGGTCTGTGCCGCAACAACCGACTGAACTACTCCGACTGGATGAGCAGCGGGAGTCTGATACTGGGAAGCCTTCTGCTCCGGAGTGTGAGTAGTAGGAGTCTGGGCTCCTCCTCCAGCCTGAGAGACGGCTGGTGCCATGGGAAATGCGTCAGTCTGGGCCACACTCTCCATAAGGCCCACCAAACGGACCAAAGCATCCTGAAGCACTGAGGTGGAAATGAACCCCTCCGGGACCTGAGCTGGTCCGACAGGCACAGCCTGGGCTGGAACCTCCTCATCAAACTCTACCGCTAGTACCGCTGCTCGGGCTCTGGGCTGAGCCCTACCCCTGCCCCTACCTCGGCCTCTAGCACAACCTCTGGCACGGCCTCGGCCTCGGCCTCGACCTCTGCCCCTCATAGGAGCTGCCACTGGAGGCTCTGGCTGCTGCTCGGCTGAAGATGTAGTACGTGTTCTCTCCATCTGCGAGAGAATAAGAGTAGAAGAGTTCAATTAGCATTGTGAGAATAAAATCGCACGACAGAGAAGAATAGAAGTGAAATTAGTTCCTAAGCTTCATAGCCTCTGGGAGATAAGTACAGACGTCTCCGTACCGATCCCCCAGACTCTACTAAGCTCGCTCGCGAATTATGAGACCTAGGCAACCTAGTGCTCTGGTACCAACATGTCACGACCCGGAATTCCACCGTCGGGACCGTGAAGGTGCCTAACATTCCACTTGCTAAGCAAGCCGATATTAGAGAATTATTAAGCCAATCCTTATTCAATTCAGTAAATAACAGCAAATAAGCTAAAATGTAATACAACAAGTGCGGAATAATATAAAAACTTCATTAATTACTACCACCGGGTCTGGAGTCACAACTCACGAGCTACTATGATTTACTACAAACAGAGTCTGAAAAGGAAAAATACATTGTTTTGAAGTAAGAAACAGTAAATGATAAAAATTAGGAAGAGACTCCAGGGTCTGCGGACGCCAGCAGATCTACCTTGGGTCTCTTGACAGCAAATCCAAGTTGTTAAGCCTCACGATCAGCTAGGACCGGTACCAAAATCTGCACAAGAAGTGCAGAGTGTAGTATCAGCACAACCGACCCTATGTACTAGTAAGTGTCGAGCCTAACCTCGACGAAGTAGTGACGAGGCTATGACAAGACACTCGCATAATAAACCTGTGCAGATAACAGTATATGTACAAGAAAACAACAATAACAGCTAAACATGTATTATTGGGAGGGGGACATGCTAAAGGGGCACAGGATATAGGAGATACAGCGGAAAAGATAACCAGAACAGTCAACATGCTTTTAACTAGTGAAAACAACTAAGCACAATGAAGAAAATAACACGGCATCACCCTTCGTGATTTTACTCTCAGTCTCACAATATAAATCAATAGATACGGCACGGCATCACCCTTCGTGCATTAACTCTCATAACGTGGCACGACATCACCCTTCGTGCATTAACACTCACAATACGGTACGGCATCACCCTTCGTGCATTAATACTCTCCCTGGCCATAATGCAATGAACAATTAACAACATGGAGATAGAATAACAAGTACAAGCCTTATTTTAACATTTGGTTCCACAATATCAACCTCTAACTTCGGAATCAATACTCAATTATCACCAGAAGATCCACAAACATGATAAGAACAATCAATTTAACAATAATAGTCTAAACATGGGTAACATGAACAAAGGAAGCTATAATTGTAAGAAACCAAGCCCCCGCCCACATGCTTTAACCCGACTATAACACATACGTACTCGTCACCTCACATATATGTTGTTCCCCAACATCTAAACATGTAGCAAGTAGACAAATAAGTCATATTCCGTCAAGTCAAGGTTAGACACAACACTTACCTCACTCCAAAGGCCACTCAATGCTCAATTACCGTTTTTCCTCTAGAATTCACCTCCAAACCACTCGTATCTATCCACAAACGACTCAATAATATCAAATATTGCTAAAAAAATCAATTACAATGCATAAATTTAGATTCCCCAAACTTTTCCCCAAAAAGTCAAAACTCGACCCCGGGCCCGCTTGGTCAAAACCCGAGATTCGGACCAAAATTCATTCACCCCTGAGCCCGATTATATAATTTATTTTGAAATCTGACCTCAATTCGAGGTTTAAATTCCAATTATGCAAAACTCCCTAATTCTACCCAAACCTCCAATTTCCACCATGAAAATCCTAGATTTTAGGTTGAAAACTCATGAAATATAATGGGTAATTAAAAGAAAGTAGGTTAGAATCACTTACCAACAAATTAGGGAAGAAAATCTTTTAGGAAAATCGCCTATAGGTCTTCTAATTTTGAAATTTTTGAAAGAATGGCAAAATCTCGTAATTGGGACTATTTTAAATCACTGGCGTCAGGTGTTCATCGCGTTCGCGTGAAACCTGATGCATTCGTGAAGAGCATGGCCCAACTGGCTTACACGATCGCGAGTAACTCCACGCGCTTGCGAAGGTCTAGCCCGCCTCACCTCCGCGTTCGCGAGACTGGGCTCGCGTTCGCGAGACTGGGCTTGCGTTCGCGTAGAGTTACCTCAACTCCCCTGCCTCGGCTATCTAATGCTATGCGTTCGCGTATGTCTGGTCGCGTTCGCGTAGAGCATGCTCCCCAATGCTCTGCGTTCGCGACTAAGGTTTCACGTTCGCGTACAACAAAACCTCCCCCAGCCCATTTTACCCTTCGCGATCGTGGGAGTATATTCGCGACCGCGAAGAAGGAAACGCCAGAAACCAGCAGAAGTGAAAACCAGCAAACTTTCTAAGTTCAAATCATCTCGTAGCCTATCCGAAACTCACCTGAGCCCTCGGGGCTCTAAACCAAAAGTGCACACAAGTCCAAAAATATCATATGAACTTGCTCGCGCGATGAAATCGCCAAAATAACACTTAGAACCACGAATCGGACACCAAATCAAATAAAATTTTCAAGAAAACTTTAAAACTTATATTTTCACAACCGAACGTCCGAATCACGTTAAATTAACTCCGTTTCTCACCAAATTCGACAGACAAATCAAAATTATTATAGTGGACATGTACCGAGCTCCAGAACAAAAATTCGGATCCGGTATCAACAAAATCAAACATCAGTCAATTCTTAAAATCATAAACTTTCAAACTTTTAATTTTTTATCAAAATTCCATATATCGAGCTAGGGACCTCGGAATTCGATTCCGGGCATACGCCCAGGTCCCAAATTACGATACGGACCTATCGGGACCGTCAAAATACGGATCCGGGTCAGTTTACTCAAAACTTTGACCAAAGTCAACTCAAATGGTTTTCAAAGCAAAAATTCATATTTTTCATAGTTTTTAACATAAAAGCTTTCCGGAAACACGCCCGGACCGTGCACGCAACTCGAGGAGGGTAAAAATGAGATTTTTAAGGTTTCGGATCATAGAATTAGGTTTAAAAATATAAGATGACCTTTCGGGTCATCACAGTGGGGCCATGACATTTGTGTGGTTATAAAAGCTTATCATTAAGGGTAAAATGAAGAGTTTAAAGTTGAATTATTTTTAAATATAGAAATATGTCATTCTTTTTAGAATGGAGTAATAAGGAAAGTATGTCATTTAAATTGAAACAGAGGGAGTAATATTTTACAATAAATAATTAAATATATAACGATATAGGTAATTATCAGTTGTTTGAATAACAGAAAAAAGATTAATGGCAATTCGTTTGGAACAGAATTTGTCTAAAGTTGAATATGTTTTCTTATTAAAATTAGGACAAAATGATGATATCGTTCATTGGTCAATAAAACAAGTTTCGACCTATGTTAAACCTTAAGTTATCTTTTCCTCAGAAAAGAAAATATTTCGTTTTGATTCTTAATGCTTATAGTATACGGGAGTCCTAGATGCTAAATAGGGTGTACGTGGACCGTTTTGGTTTGGTTTTGTTTGGATTGGTTCGGTTTTGTCGGGGTTTTCGGGTTTTTTGTTACATGAATATTATTTCAATCTTACTTTGTTAAAGTTTTGATAAGTAAATACATTATATGTTTATGGGACAAACATATGATCTATAAAAATATTCTTATGGGAGAATTGTTTTAGTAACACATGATAGTTATATTCTTAGTTATCTAATAATAATTTTTTGTTGATATACACTTTCAAGGTTAACTGAATTTTATAATTAAAAATAATAATCAATATGATACCTAAATAATAAAATATTCTATTTATTATTAAATTATCGAAATACCATTTCAAATTCGAAAAAGATGAGTATAAGAATTTAATAGATCTTGACATATGAATATGAAAGAACAAAGAGATTGACCATTTCAATAACACTTGATAAGAAAGTGATGACACAACCCATTATTTAAAGTAAATAAAAATAGAGCACTTCATATTTCTATTAAATATTACATCCCATAAGAGAATCCCAAATATTTGTAGACATTTTTTAAAGAAAATTCTATATAAGGTTTTAAAAGTATATATAAAAATTATATATCTATATGTCGGTTTGGTTAGGGTTTTTTTATTCAATACCAAACCAAATCAAACCAAACCTAATCGGGTTTTTTAATCGGTTTGGTTTGACTTCTCGGTTTAGTGCGATTTTCTGGTTCGGTTTGAAAACTAAATATTAGGACTAATTATGTAAAATTTCAAACTAAGGAAAGAATTAATACTCAAAATTTTAATTGACGGTAAAGTTCTAAAATTTAAGAAAATAATAAAATGACTATTTTGTCCAATGTGAAATCAGTTTTTAAAGGGTAAAAAAGACAAACGATATTTCGCTAAGGATTTCGTGCTTTTAATATAGTAATATAGATAGTATAGATTACCAAGTTTAACGGTCAAGATTTAATAGGGGTGAAAATCCTAGTTCATGCAAAAATTATGATGTTTGAGTATTGACTTAAATTGTGGTTGGAGACTGTTCAAATAGTACAAGATAATACAATGTTGGTCACTTGAACCTAAATCAGCAATGAAATGAATGGCTAAAGAATAACTAAGCTGTTCATTTTCACAATTCCAGCACCAGTATGTCAATAGAACCTTTTTACATGATCACACATTAAACTGCTACCGTCTAATTTTACAAGAAAATTAAACCTGCCACTACAGGAAACAGTAATACGGCTATAAATAGGCCTAAGCAATAAAATAAAAAGAAGACGACTAGACTACAATGATATAATTTTAGCAAAGCTTTCCTTGAACACGGCATTATACAACACACCTAAAATCATTCTGTTGTTTCAACACATTGGCAACCATCTAGAGCACATGTATCTTGCTCCACTTTAGCTGTTATTTCAGTGGGTGGCTCATGCCACAGCTTCTGTATACCACTCAGTTATCCCTGTCATTCCTGATTCATTGCTTGCATAAAATGTTCATCTGCAGCAGTACGGACAGAAACGCAAATCAGTAGGGAACGGAAGAATATGGATACAAAAGAATGGGACCAGTAGGAGGCCTTAGTGCCTTGAAGTTAATAACAGCAGATTCTATTCTCTGACATAAAATCACATTAGTCTTCATTCCTTCCCAGTAAACCTAGATTGTTGTTATTATGACATGATCAGTTGCAATCAGAAGAGATCTATTGTTTTTCCAATCAAGAAGTGTTGCAACGCCTGATGGACTCGGAGATCAGAAAGAAGCTTGCATAACCAACCTACTTCACTAGTGATTGCAGACTCTTTTCCAGGTAGCCTTGGTGGAAACACACAACACTCACATACTTGCATGCTTCATGTTTCGTTAAGAAAAGATACAAACACTCACATGCTTACATGCTTCTCTAAGAAAAGCTATGAACAACAACAAAGTGAAGGTGGACAAGTCCTCGTCCATGCACTCCACATAGTACCGAGATACCCTTTTGCTCCCTACCCTCCATTTTACACTTCTCATTATCCAAAAATCCATTACATAATAAATCCTGTCAACCAGAACCTTCTTAAAAATTATTACACCTTTAGCAGGGAAAATTTTGGTTACCAATTCAAACTGGCAAGGATTTCATACAAAAGAAATGGGCTAGTAATCTATAACGATCTGATGAAATTAAGCGGTGTTCTGTGCTATGTGCCAAGTTGGTAAGAGTGCGTGTCGTGTGTGTGTACTGAGCTGGACCTAGTAGTGAAGATGGCAGCAGCAAACGATTGAGCTGATGATGGTGGAAGTGTCAGGTTGGGTGTTATGCTACTTCCAGTTAATGGTATTCAATCAAATTATATACCATCTAACACATAGGGCTTCAACTTTAACGGTTTCACATTTCTATTGTTCCTGTTATATCACAATTGATCAGTAGTAACTAGTATCTCGCTTTTATGTATTTTGGCCATGTCATTTATTTCATTATATGTTCTTTGTCATGAGAATTAACATGTTTCTCTGTGAATATGTATATCAATATAGAAGCGGTAACTTGAACTTAGTGACTTCTACCTCTACATGAAATAAAATTTTACCGAATGGTCAGATACACATCTTTTTGTTCTTAAAACATGTATTCCTTTATTCTTTCTAAAAAAAAAAACATGTATTCCTTTATCTTCTGATAGAGGAATGAAACAAAATGATATGATTTCAGGTATTTCCCAGTGACATACATGTCAAAGGGATGGACAATTTATATTAACTCTATGATTCACTAAGCTTCCTACAATGGTTCAAAACAGCTTCACATGAAACTTATTTTTCTAAAGAAAATAGTTCGACATGAAACAAGAAGAAAATATAAGTATCATAGAGAAGCAAAAGCACAAATATGTCCCGCGGGGTACTCCAACTTCCATTCACTCCAAGAACACAATTTAGCAGCATAGGAGTATTACACAGTTACTTTTTTTTTTTAATAAGGATAAATTACGCTATTACTACCAGTCTGCCAGCTAGGAACTTGTTCAACATCATTCAAAAATAAGAAAACTTAAGAGGAAATAGCATCAAATGTCCCTAATTTTGGAAGTGCACCGTTATTCCTAAACAATGATCTTGTCTTAAGTCCTTCAAGTTATGCTTGTCTGACATCATCACTCCTTCACTCCATGTACTAATTTTAGGCCACTTATCCTACCAAAAGTAAAAGTTCCAGCTGACATTATGGTATTAAAGGTATCAAGAAAAAGATTGTCCCAAAATCTATAGAGTAAAAGAGAAGAAGCATTGGTGAAGATCTACCAAGCTTTTATTTTCTGTCTTGAAGATATTTTTCCAGAACGTCTTGATTTAGATGATGGGAGGTAAACATTGTGCTTTTGGAGGTAAATTTGACCGCAAATTAAAATAAGCCAAAGCCAAATAAGTAAACTTCTAGAACTTGATAGGAACTCAGACTTTGAAAAAGATCATAAAGGTTTTTTTAAAAAAAGATAAGTTGAAGAGGATCATAGAGTTTAATCTCTCCAATCCCAATGCACTTATCATGATGCTAAAATGAAAAGCAAATGCAGGAATATTTTGGCATAGTCATACCACTCTCGCCATCAGAGATCTCTCCGAGCTTTGAGATGGCCTCCAGAAGTGCTTGCTCATGCTCCTGCACAGTAACATACTTAATTTTCCTTTGCCATAAATGAGTGAGCAGTAACCACTACCAGACAGGCGGTGTCTCTTACCCTTAGCACTTTTTTTGCCTTCTCAATCTCCAAAGGGTCTGGATGACTGGCGCCAAAGACCCTCTCCACCTGATGACATTTGCCAGTCTATGAACAAATATAGAAAGTGCAACATCTCAATGCGCAACAGAGATTAAATTACTGTTGCTAACCTCCTTAATCAGTGTTTCCGTGTGAAGTAACTGGATATCATCAGATCCCTTCTTTCCTCCATTCTGTGATGGCGGAAAGCCTTTTCTGGACTGTGGTTTAATCAACCCCCTTCCCCTGCCTGCACCTGGAGTGCTATCACGCCCAACAGGCCTATTCATGCCACGGCCTGATCCACCATAATTTCCATGACGAGAAATTCCTGGGTCTTCACCTTCCCACTGAATATCCTCTGGAGAAATCTGTCGGAGAGAAGATATATAAATTTGACCTTTGAAGAAGCTCTTCAAGAAAACTACAAAGAAGAACACTGATAACCACATGATGCAACTAAGAATAAAAATGAATAAGGAGCTGGGTACAGAGTAGGTTGTCAGGCAGCCTGTAGTTCATATTGGACACCAGGCATGTGTCAAAGAGGCACTTTTATGACTCTTCTAAACATTGGAGATGAATATCATACTAATAACAGCCTGCATAATGAGTTTGAAAAGGTTCTTGCGATCAAATCTCCAGCCCTGAATATCACATTTTATTTCCAGACTCAAACATTGATTTGTTTTTTATATACTTTGGCAATCTACAGAGCAAGTCAATTAGCTATCACCAACACCAAATGAAGGTTTTCCTATTCAATTAGTGCAACTCTGACAATCATTTATTGAATGTAAGGACTTGAACTGATAAATATGGTGATGAAAAGGAAATTTCACAAGATCACACCTTAGAGAGAATGCTATAAGGACTCGAACTACCAATAATCTTGATTGTCTTCCATCTTGAGGTCAAATACACCACATATTATATGTCAGAGCACTCTCAGAGTAGTTAAATATTAGAAATAAGCAAACCGCTATTGGTTTCTCTACTTCTTTCTAGATATACTAAAGATTTATGCTCCAATTTTGGTACATGGTGGAATCTTTCGATAAGTGCATATTCCAGAAGACTTGAGAATGGACCAGCAATCTCCCAAATGCATGGTGTAAATTTCATTGAATTTAGTACAGAAGACTATAAAGTATTCTTAAAGGCACATGCCGTAAAATGTTGGACTTGAGATGCTCAAAAAGTTACAGCTATCTACCATTTATGGAAAATAGGTCCCACATAAAACACATATAGTTGCACATCAGACACAGGGAAATTATACCTTCAAGAGAAAATATGGTGAAGTCACCTTTACAGAGATTTGTGCCCTCTACCTAGCAGTTCCCAAGGGAAATGATTCAGACTCTATATTTAGAATCCTGAACTTGAAATCCAAATTCCCCCCCCCCCC